GTAATCTTTTAACTGTATAATGAAAGTGTAGATGATGTTCTGTAGAGACAGAAAAGTGTTGATTTCAGATCTAGCAGGAGGTTGGGTGAATGGCTGATCATCTTTTTCCTGCAGCAGCTTCAGTCTACACGTTTTTAGGGTAAGCCTGTTTTGGTTATACATCATACTTAGCAAATCCCTAGTCCTGAGACGTAGACTGTACTCCTGAGGCATAACTCTTGGTTTTCACTGGGAAGCACAAGGTGTTTATCAGCCCCTCTTAATTTGTAAGATTCAAAATACAGTCTCAGTCCCTCCTGTGACAACAACTGAAATCTCTGTGTAACTTTTTCAGGCATTCAGCTGTTGCTTTTTACCAGGCTTCTTTGAGTCTCCCTTGAAAATGCACATTTCAGGGATCAGGCAAAGATCTGAGACAAATTCATATGCATATTTGGCATTTTGCCTCATGGCTCCTTCTTCCTGAGATTTCCATCTTTTCACTCCTTCTTCTGAAACCTCAAGCCAACATAACCATGTATTTCATTTGGGTTCTAGTCACCTCACACTGCATGTTTTGTTACATACCCACAGGTCTCATCAGTACCATTTACTTCTTTCAAGGACTGAATAACTTCTAGTTTTTGCTTCCTTTTGGTCATTCTTCAGTGTTTTGTCCAGATTTTTCACTGATGTCTGAGAGAAGCTGCTCCACTATTTCTGGAATTACAACTTTGTCTCACTAGCTCTTACTGGTTTTTCTGCATGGTTTGGTGGGCAGTACCAATCACTAAGTCATGTATCTTGGTCTTCAAAATCTAAGAGCCTGAATTTTCAAATAAAAATAGTCTAACTATATAGATATGTTTATTTATGAGTTTGGACTCAGAGTTCTGGTTGTTCTGTCTCTAAGATCAGCACTCCAATACTGAATTCATTCCTTTGCATACCTGTATATAGGTATTTATGAGGGGGGACCTGAAAACACAGAATTTATTTATAAAAATTGTATATTTATTCTTATATGTTTAAACTTCAGTTACCTTCAAAGTATTCTCCATTTGATACAGTTCATCTATTGAAATACTTTTTTTCCGCTGCTCAAAGTAGTTTTTGAACTCATCAATTTTGATGCCTTTTAGTGCTTCTGCTGTTTTTTGTTTCACTATTTCCATATTGGTAAAACATTTTCCTTTGAGGACTGTTTTCATCCATGGAAACAAAAAAAAAGTTCTGCAGGGAGAGACTGGGTGAAATGAAAGGGTGGGGTACGGGGGTCATGCTGTTTTGGGTCAAAAACTGCTGAATACTCAGTGCAGTGTGAGCAGGTGGGTTTGTAAATTGTTGGGAACAAGGAAATTAAGAACTAAATTTAAGCTTAATAGATAAGAACCACATTGTAGCTAAAAAGAAATGATAAAAGAGACAAAGTACAGTTAAAGCAAACATCCTGTGTCTAGCAGACGCTCTCCCCTGGGTAGGCTAGATAAGCAGTGCTTTGTAGTTTTTAATGAGAAAATAGAAAACTAGCCAGCTAGAGCCAGGAGATTACTAGGTTAATGAACAAACATCCCGCCTTCCCACCTTATGAAAGAATGCTTGGTTTGAAATTCCCGTGCGCGGTCTTTGTAAGCGAATTACTAACTGCCACGTCTGCTTCTGTATAATGCTTGCTTGCTCGCCCATATATAAGAACGTAGTTGTAAGCGCTCGGCGCGTCTCTCGTTTGCAGCTCCTTGCGGGCACTGTGTCACTGGACACTTTGAGAGTTCGCCCCTGTGCAGGTTAAACTTGGCCAATAAAGTAACATCTTTGGTACTCTGAAAGTCTCCGATATTTGTCCTCGCGTTTGCTGGATGCTACATAAATCATCCATCATAAAATGGGCAAATGGGTTGAATCTTCACAAAAAGTTCACTGAAGCTGAACACAGCCTCTTACAACACCAACTGGTACACTGATAAAGATGGGGTCCTAGAACACTCACTTAGTGGAAGAAGCCTGTACTACAAGGGTCTGCCCTCCAAAAGATAATTCTGCTTTTTTTGGGTCCCCCTCAATATTGACAATTCTATCTTAATTCATTTTTTCCTGACAATGATTCTTGATTTTCTTTACATTACTAAGAAATTTTCACCTCAGCATTTTTTAGGATTAGAGAGTCCTCCTGGCCAGGATTTTCTGAAATTGTTTCATGACTATTCCAAGTCTTGACTAGAAACTATAGCTGGAAGGAGTAAATATGGCAGGTTCCAGGGGCTATTTCTTGTCCTCAAAAGAGTACTGATTCTGGAGTCAAAACCAAAAACGTGTTGTCTGCTTCGAGGGTATTTTTAGAGTAGTTGCAAACATATGATCTTATCTTGAGAGAATGGCCAGTATTTCTAAGCAGCTAATAAATAAAACATATTTATAAAACAATGTATTTTTCCATTATAAAAAAATACTGTGTTTACTTCACTCCATTTGCACTATAAAGAATGCTTCACTAGGTAGTAAAAGCTTTCTCTGATCCCTCCCTTTCAGCCATGATAACTGAGCAAGACTTACATTCTTACCCATTAGTATTTGTACACTCATTATTTCTACCCACAACACTATAAATTCATCAAGCTTCACTCTTTATGCTACATTATCCAGACAGCCTTTGGTGAGGACACTGAAGAGGAGTTGAAGTCCCCCACTAGAATGTAACACTTTCGGTAAAGGATCATTTCTAGTTATCAAAGCAATAATAGTTAAGAGAATAGCCCTTAGAGTGAGACAGACCCAAACTTCACTTTCTGTGCAATCTTTGGATTTTCTACAACTTTATCTAAGTTATAGATAAATAGAGATAAAAATAGTCCCTCCCTCATTTGGTCATTGTGAGGATCAGATATGGTAAGGCATATAGAAATTTGTGACAGTTTCTGCTATATTCTTATTATTATTATCATTGTTGTTATTCCCCTCCAAAGTAAATGTGCAATAAACAATTATCTAAATGGGGCACATGAGTGAAACACATAACAGGATTAGGAAATACAAATTTGTAGTTATAAAATAGTCATGGGAGTGTAAAGTACAACATTGGAAATATAATCAATAATAGTGTAATAACTAAGTATGGTGCCACGTAGATACTTAAAATATCAGTGGGATCACTTTGTAAATTATATGATTGTCTAATCACTATGCTCTACATCTAAAATTAATGTAAGGTAGTATTGAATATCAACTGTAATTGAAAAATAAAATTTTAACAAAATCAGAAACTGAGTTTTATAAAGATTTGCAAAGTGTATAGACATAATAATACTCGTAAGAACTGTGATTCAAACCCAGATCTTCTGACAATGATGCCCATGTGTTCAACCACTAAACCATATGGGTGTCTGGTTCTAATATGCCACTTTTAATTTAAGTAATTAATAAAATGGAAGTATTGTCTTAAAACAACAACAGCTAAATAAGCACTTGTTGAATTAAATAAGTGCTATTTTGATGGGAGAGAAAAACACACATATTACAAAAACAAGTTATAAGAAAAAATAGTAATTGTAAGTTACAATAAACACTATAATAAAAGGGCTAAGAAAGAGAATCAGTGAGGAACCTGGTTTATATAGGGAAGGCCTTTTGACATAAAGGACATATAAGCTGAATCTTAAGAGATGAGAAGGAGCCAGTCACACAAAAAAATGAGGAGAACAGTATTCCAGGCAGAAGAATATCATGTATAAAGGTCCTGAGGCAGACATGCATGTGAACTTTCTATGAACCAAAAGACTACCAGTGTGTTGGGATGGAATGAGTAAGGGTAGAGTGGCACCAGATGCCCTGAGAGGTGGCAGAGGCCAAACACAAAGGGCCTCATCAGCCAGGGCAGAAAGTCTGGCTTTTGGTCTAAGTGCAAAGGGAAGACACTGAAGGGTTTTAAGCAAAAGAATGACTAGATTTTCATACTTACTGAATCCATCACTTACAAAAACAATTTGAAGGATAAGGATGTCTGAAAATACCTGGAACATGTTTAGAGAAACTAAGAGTAAACATGTAGAATAAAATATTTCCACTATGATTGGAGTTACTGATTGTCAACAACCCCAAAACCCTTTTGGGACACTTAATAAAATTTCATTCACTTTGCTTTCTTTCACACATGTCATGAATATGTAAGGAATCCTGGGACCCCTTAAAATAGAAGAAGACAAGAGTTATGAGTTAGGGAGGAAAAGTTAGAGTAACTGAGAAAGATGGCCAGAGTGGACAGCTATGAGGGCACAGAACCAGAGCAAATATCTGGGCTATGAGGACCACATTAGACAAGAGGTGATTTGGAATATGCTGTGGTACAGATTTCTTACAACACGGAAAGGCAGGATTCCAGTGTAAAATTGTGAGACGTTGTAAGATGTTGGACATTCCAGCCCAAATGCCATAAGGAAACTTAGAGAAAATGTAAATTTATACATCAGATAATTATCTTTACAAGTCAATCTCCCTTTGGGGCAATATATCTTTGCCATTGTAAGCTTCTTCCTGGAATGTTGGGGTTTATTCTCTGTTGAAGCTGCTTCATTCCCTTCATATTCTTTCTTTTTAAACTTGCTTCATATTAGTAACTCACTTGGCACTAATTAAGACCCTGCCATTAATATAATGAAGTGTTTCTATTTTCACATGATATATTGAGTAATCAACAATATTTCCTCTTAAGGAAATTTATTCCTAAGCAAAAGCTTATGGGGAAATGGTGACATGTTCAGACTTCCATTACCTGCTGACTGATGACAGATTGATTTAATAGAGTACATAATAGCTGAGCTTTCCCAAATGTGTCAGTGTTGTTGTTGTTTTTAAATTGTATTACTATAGGATAGTATGTGTCATAAGAACAACTCTGGACTTAGTTTCAACTTTTTTCCTAGAGGATGAAGAATAGCTTATTAAATGTCAGCTATAAACTTCATGATAACTAATAACTTTCATTTCCCAGCAGCTGACAATAAGTAAGAGCAAAAATGGTGAATACCTACTGTTGCCAGGTAACTGCATCCACTGTGCTCCCTGCCACCTTCATGAATCTGTGAGGAAGATAAAGAACAAAGATATTGCAACTTGAAGTAAACCATATCTTCAGGGTTAAAATGAAATAAGCTGAGGCATAGATCAGGACATTCCCTGGGCAGCTGTGCTTTTGCGGAGGGCCCACAGGCACAATTATGGCCAATCCACACCTATTGGAAATTAAACTGTACAGAATGTGAAGATAATTATGCTTTCAGCTCTCTACACATCCTTCGCCATCTGGAACTCGAGACCCAAAAGCACATTCTACCTACGTCCATCTTCCTCAGCCCATGCCTGGTAGCTCCCAAATTGCTTTCCCTGTATCAAAACTTATCTGTCCCATTTCATGTTCTCTAAGGATGTTGAGGTCCCCTAGAAAACAAACTAAATAACATTTCCCAAGGATGACAACATAACAGATGCCTTTGAAAAAACCTCAGACCTCTCCTTTAAAGAGAGCAAGGGAAAACCTGATTTCTTACACAAGCATACAGCACTATCAAATATATCCCAATGATGGGCTGTTACACCTATCTGAATGTAGAAACCTGGGCACCATACAGAGAAATCTAACCATTTCTGGAGCAGCTAAGTAGAGAAGTGAGTGTCACCTGACAAGCATGCTCAGCTCGAAAGGCAAACCAGACCTGTTTCTCTGCAAAGCACCCAGCAAAGTCTTTTTAGAAATTCCCCACCCTCCTGTGCTACTGGAGGTTCTACCAGGAGGACCAGGAGGAAGGAAGCATCTGAGGCCTCCCAGATGACACAGCGTATCATAAATTTAAGTCTGAGAATAACTCTTTTACCTATCTGTCCCTTTCTTCCTGTCCACATGTTCTGAGAACATATGTTGACATGGCTATGGTTATTATTTGAGAGAATTACCGACCAGGCACAGAAAATCCAAAGGAACATCTCAGTTCATTAAGATGTTTCTTTCAGCTCTGAGACTCTGAAGGAGAACTTCCCTTCAGACAGAAACAATCTTCACTCAGTACTTCATAATTAAAGAACTCTTCCACTAGGAAGGAAGACAGTCTTTTGTCAGGAAGGCCCTGTCCCTGCCCTGCCCCAGCATAAGCTTGCCAGGTGAACACACAGGCAAAGGGGTTGTTGTGCAGTGCATTGCCGAAACAGAGGTTCTGCTTTGCCATGATTGTAAAAGAGGACTGAGTTTCTACAGGACTAGGAGAAAGGTAGAGAGAGGATGCCAGGACTGCCACTTAGCATGAGAGTGAAGTTTATACAAGATGAAGAGGAGGTAGAGGAGACTGGCCAGGACTGGGATGGTGAGAGGGAAGGGAAAGAGAGAAGGGGAAGGAGGAGGAAGAGGAGGAGAGGAGCATGATGAGGAGGAAAGGCTTGTATATTCTCTTTTCCACCTTGCCATGTGCTACTCTGAATCAATAAGCATGCATGCAATCAGCTACATGCTTGAACAGAGAGGAGAAAAATGGAAACATACAGGGAGAATAAATGCAGATTAGCATCCAAAATATTATTCCTGGCACAGATATAGGCTAAACAGCAGAGATCTGATAATAATCTTATCAGTAATATCACCCAAAAGTAAAGAGGGGGAGATGGATTTATTCACTCTCCTTCAGGATAGTTTATTCTTTTACTCCTTACCTGAGGATATGTTTATTGATTTTAGAATGAGAGGAAAGGGGAGAGAGGGAGAGGAAGGGGGAGGGAGAAAGAAGAGAAGGGAAGGGGAAGGTAGAGCAGGGTAGAAGAGAGAAACATCAATCAGTTGCCTCTTGTACTGGGGTTCAAACCCACAACCTGGGTATGTGCCCTGACCAAGAATTAAACATACAGACTTTTGGTGTACAGGATGATGCTCCACCAAACTGATCAACCTGGCCAGGACACTGCCAGGACATTTAAAAAATGATAAAACCTAGACAAACTTAGATACAAGTATCATTTTTTTAAAAAAGAAATAGAATACTTAAAATATATTTAGATGGGTTTTACTCCTCCAAAATAATTTCTAAAAATCTCTGAAACAGAAATTCTATTTTATGTAAAACTATCTCCATTTACATATAAAATAACCATAATGAAAATAACACTGACATTTATAGTGCTTTCTCATTTTAAAAAAATTTTAGCTTCTCATGTGTATAATTTCACATAACCTTGAACTTATCCCTGGTTGGCAGATATTCCTAATTCATAGTGGAGGAGGCTGACTCTCAGGGTTGTATGACTTGCTCAAACTCATAGAGCTAGTATGGACTAAACCCAGGTTCTCTGATTCCGAAGCCTACCCTCCTTCTAGGATCCTATACTCCCTCTAAGCTATTTTCACTGAGGCCAAGAAGTACAGTGCAACTCTTAGATGCAAAAAATAAGTTGAATTTTTGCCTTGAGAAAATACTGCCATATTTATCAGGAAAAGCAAGAAGGCCTGAGCACCTTCTTTGCTTGCTGGCTTCCTTTCGCAGACTAGAGGATTTCTGTGCCATTTGTCAGACAGGGCATTAAAGCACGTATCAAAAGGTGACTGTTTCAGAGTTTCTGCTATAAGACAACCACAATAAAGTTGAGAAGACAGACACTGAGACAGTTAGCCCTCAGAGTCTCTTGTGTGTGCACTGCCAGTACAATCTGCCTGCTGTGGGACAGCAGTCCAGGCAGCAGTCAGCTCCACCTTCTCTGGTGTTAGAAGAGGGACAATCAGTGAGAAAAGCTTCTCATTGCACATGACATTCCACCTGGCATTGAAAGAAAGAATCATAGGATTTTGCCATGAAAAGCAGGCAGGGCATAGAAACAGTATGAGTAAAGCAAGGAAGAATCAAGCTGAGTGTGTTAGGAGTCCAGTGTGGCTGGGTGTCAGAGGACAGGTAAGCGGGTGGCAGGTCAGACCAGCCTGTGATGCTAACATGTCTGGCTTTTATCCTGTACAACAAACAACAAGTCCATGTCCTATTTACCTGTGTATGACTAGTACTCAACATACAAAATATAGCTAGCTCGTCTTTCATGTGTATTTGTTGGATTTCTCCTGTGTTTAAACCAGAGAGTGTCAAGATCAGACTGAGTGTCAGGAAGCTCCCTCTAGCTATGGTGAAGGTGAAAGATACTGGCATGGACAGACTGGCAGCAGATGAGTGTAGAAGGTGGGAGACTTTGAAACCCAGGATGGAAAGCGACACAACTGAGAAACGCTGTTGGAGCACTCTGCAGGACTGGCCAGGTGCGTGTAGGGGGACAGTGTATAAGAAAGGACCTTGCATTTTCAAAAAACATTTTTTTAATTTTTCAGTTACAGTTTAGATTCAATGTGATTTTATATTAGTTTCAGGTGTATAGCATAGTAGTTAAACAATCATATACTTTAGAAAATCTTCTCTCAATATTGCCAGTACCCACCTGGTATGGTACATATTTATTACAATATTATTGACTAAATCCCTTATGCTGTCCTTTACATCCCTGTGACTATGCTGTGACTACCAATTTGTACTTCTTAATCCTTCATCTTTTTCACCCAGTCCCCCAACCCCTCTCCTCTCTGGCAACCAGACCCTGAGGTTTTCATTGCAATAGAGTCATTGCCCATATGGACAACCCAAGAACAGACTTTTGAAGCTGATGTTGGTGAATGTATTCTAATACTCCTGTATATGCCACAAAGAACTTGAAGTAAAAAGTTATTGATGATAAGTTATGCATTCACAGGAAATTAGAAGGAAAACATAATAATCAATGCCTTGTTTGGCTAAAAGGCTCTGGGCAGGCAATTAAGACTACATCTAATTTGGTGTTTTATTTTATTTTTTTAAAAGATTTTATTTATTTATTTTTAGACAGAGGGGGAAGGGAGGGAGAAAGAGAGGGAGAGAAACATCGATGTGATGTGTGAGAGATACAGCAATTGGTTGCCTCTCACGCTCCCCCTACGGAGGACCTGGCCTGAAACCCAGGCATGTGCCCTGACTGGGAATCAAACCAGGGACCTTTTGGTTTGCAGACCAGCACTCAATCCACTGAGCCACACCAGCCAGGGCTAATCTGGCATTTTAGAAGTTGGAAAATGGTTCTTCATGGTACTATAATCTGAAGATCCTCATATGCATTGGATAGTTTGTTCTGCTATAGGTTGATAATTAAGTCCTTAAATAATTTCCATTATCAAATGTAGCATTATAAAATGAATAGGGAAATTTGGAATCTAATGAACAAAATGAACTAACAAACACAACAGAGACAGACTCAGAGAGCAGGCTGACAGCTGTTGAGGGTGGGAGGCAGTTGGGATTGAGAGGGTAGAGGGATTGAGCAAAAAAGAAAAAAAGAGGAAAAAACCCATGGACAGAGACAACAGTGCAGTGATTGCTGGGGTGATGTGGGAGAGGGTATAGGGAGGATAAATGTTGATGGAAGCAAACTTGACTTGAGGTGGTGATGATGTGTTGTGGAACTGTGCACCTGAAACCTGTATAATTTTGTTAACCAGTGTCACCCCAGTAAACTCAATAAAGAGGAAAAAAAAGGAATGGAAAAACTAGAGTTAGAAACATTTAAAGTAATGCTAATGTTTTCTCCCTACATTCCTACCCTACACCACTCAGAAAATCTGTAATATCCGTAATTAAAAATAAAAGTTAGTAGACCCATATATCAGATATTGTATAGTTTAAAGAGAAATATTTTAAAATTAAAATGATCCCAGACAGGAAAAAATAAATTATTCTTCTTTAATTTATGGCTTTAATAAAATTCTAACAAAAAAACTCAGCAGATATTTTTGAAACTTTATAAAATCATTCTAACATTCATCTGAAGAGGCCAAGAAAATTCTGAAAAACTAGAATAATGAAAGAACATTTATTTTATCTACCATCTATTAAAATATACCATAAAAGTTGCAATGATTAAAACATTTCTAGCTCAGAAATCAGTAAGGAGATACATGGAACAAAATTTGTTTTCTAAATTTATGTTTAAGAATTTATTACAAGAAAAATTTAGTATACAAAAATCCAAAGCATTTTTT